AATATAGTTTTACCATGACAAGTTACAGATCAAGTTCGAATTTTGTTCAGTTCGGATGATTTTTTTGCAGTGTTATGGTCCTCAGACAAATAATCAGTTTTCCACACTTTTTTCCCCGTTATGTTTGAAGATATTGATTTTATATTTGTTATGTAGTTTACACCATGACAAGTTATAGGTTGCATTTTGTAAATACAGCTGTTTCTCAAGCCACTCCTCTTTTGGGGAGATATATAATATTCATAGATATTTTGTTTTGTTTACGTACTGGTTCCCAGATATGATCTCTATGTTTCATCTCATAGAGACATAACTTGGGAATGTTACCAGTATAAAAACACATCGCAGCGGTGAAAATTGAAATCTGAGGAAACCCACAATGAAGGTTGGGTTAGTACAGAATTTTAGTATAAGTTTAAACTCTTAGAAGTTCAAGGAATAGAAATGTTGTAAATATGCCGCACAACCCTGTTTTGACCTTTGAATGAAAAAGTAGTGCATATAAACTTTCCGTTCTAGGATATAATTTTTTTACGAAACTTCAAAGTAAAAGTGGCACAGTTTTACCCGCAAAGGGAGTTCATATGGGAAATTGCATTGTCTATATTTACAGAAGTGCAACCTATGTTGGGTGAAAAAAGAGAACATATAGAATTTCACCAAATCTGGTTTATCACAGAGATTTTAATTAAATTAACTCAAATATAAAGTTTTATAAATATTTCATGAAGATAGGGGAAATCCTGGGCCCTAATTATAATGACTCGGCATAAATTCACAGTTTACAGTATGCATAGTTTACTTACAGCCCTGAATGCAAAATAAATCGTAATATATGCATATTTGTAAGTTATATTGTTTAGAAGTGCTTATATTTACTCTTCGCAGTCATTGAAACTCATAGATCCTTGATGAATATTGTTGTTAGGGTTTTTGTCCTGTTGATAACCCAAAAGTAAGCCGTAACACCTGAATTTGCTTTTTTGTGACCGCGGCAAAAAAAAAATACAAGCTAGAAATACAAAAATACCTCAATAAAACTAACAATAGTGTGTTCTTTCCTGGATATGTACTAAATATTCCATATTCACAGAAACAGCAGAATAATTTATCAAATTTGAGGCCCAAGTGGCAAAAAAACAGAGAAAAATGCCAAAAGAGATAATTTAACTTGTAAATGCTATGATTTCATTATTTTAAAGGTCTTTTGTATAGAAAGCAATAGCTGTAAAGTTATGCAAAAACAGATATTGGCACTCAGTTCTATAAAACTTTGAGTGAATTCATACACCAGACTGGTAACTTCATGCATTCAACTTTTGCAAAGGTGGCTTTGTTTAAGATTTCTAGTTCATATATTAGCTAAATTATGTTAGATATATGTTTAGAGATGATATTGTTGTGACAAGATTTCTAAACTGACCATTTGAGGCAGAAATTGTGAACTTTTATTGACAAATAGGCATACAGTAAGATGTGGACTGGAGACAGAGGCAGGATTGGATACTTTATATAATCTTGAATGTTGGAATGATTAACTACTAAACTTTACATTCATAGTATTCTGAAATGCTTTTAATTTGTTATCAGAATAGTTTCAAACAGGTTCTAGTCATTTCATGTCAGAAATCAGGCACATAGGGTAAGCTGACAATAATTAGTCTTGTTTTCAAATTCTTTAAAAATTGAAACAGGGGTGGGGGTATAAAATGTTCTGTAAAAGAAAAGTTAAGAGTATATGCAGTTATTTCTTTAAGGCTATGATATTGATAAGTAAGAATTGTGAGAAAAAGTGTTTTTCAAGAGTTTTCTATTTGAATAAACGTTAGTATAGGTTGTACTTTGTAAATACAGCTGTTTCTCAAGCCACACCTCTTTTGGGAAGATCTATAATATTCATAGATATTTTGTTTTGTTTATGTACTGGTTCCCAGATATGATCTCTATGTTTCATCTCATAGAGACATAACTTGGGAATGTTAACAGTATAAAAACAGTGAGGGATCCAGAAATTTTCATAAGGGTGGGCCCACTGACTGCCTAAGAGGGGGCCCGCTCCAGTCATGCTTCAGTGATACCCTATATAATCAACCAAATTTTTCCCACAAAAGGGGGGGCCTGGGCCCCCTGAAAAACCCTCTAAATCTGCCTCTGAAAAACACATGGTAGCGGTGAAAATTGAAATCTGAGGAAGACCCACAGTGAAGGTAATGTTAGTACAAAATTTTAGTATAAGTTTTAACTCTTAGAAGTTCAAGCGCAATAACTCCTATAAGGGATCAATTGACAATTACAGTCACATTGTCTTGTATGTAGGTCTTACTTTGCTGAACATTTTTGCCATTTAAAAGTTTCTAAAGAAAACTAAATAAATTGCTTCGCCAAACGCAGCTGGATACGACCGCAGAGGTCCAACCCTGAACAGTTGGGGCAAAAATGGACACAATATTGGCACTTGATACAGGTCTGAATTTGGATTGTAATTAAATATTTGACACATAATAGGTTTCTGACATAGAATAACTGTAAAGAACTTAGAATTGGTTATATGATTTAAATTTATATTAAATTTTTGCTTTTGTGCAATACACTATGCTGTTGCGAATTATACCCCTCCCCCAAAAAAAAAAATTAAAAAAAACTATACCCCCTTTTTTTTTTTTTTTGTGCAATACACCATGCTATTGCGAATTAACCCCCCAAAAAAAAATTTTACACCCCCTCCCCCCCTTTTTTTGCAAAAAAAAAATATTTGAAGAAATATAATTTCTGAAATCTGAAATGAGAAAAAAAAATGTCCCCTCCCCCCAAATTTTTTTTCACCCCCCCCCCCCCCCCCCCCCCACTCTTTTTCAAAAAAAAAAATTCTTTCAACTCAAGAAATGGTCATTATCTCAATTCAAATTTCCAATGGAGTTTGCAACCATTAATTACCCATTTAAATACATCATAAGTCTTAAAATAGAAAATGACATACATAATCATGTCTAAAATTAATATTCCTTAATCAGCATTTTTAATAGTAACTTCTAAAAATAGATTTACAGCTAATCACCTCAAGACAATACAACATTTCTTTATACATAATTTAAAAGCAGTGTAAGGGAGGTAATCCAAACACAAAACATTGTACATAAAAGTAATTGTCCATTAACAAGGAAACCCTTGTTTTTCCCCCTTTTTTGCCCCTAATTCCGAAATTTTTCTCATTGTGGTATAATTTCAGAGAGATGGATCATCCATACACCGTTCCACAAGTTATTGTCTGAAAACTAGAAAAATGTTTATTTGGGCCCCTTTTTGGCCCCTAATTCCTAAACGTTTAGGGCAATTACCCCCAAACTCAAACCCAGCTTTCCCTTTGTGATATGGAACCTTGTAGTACAATTTCATAAAGATTCATACACTTACACACAAGTTATTGTCCTGAAACTAGAAAAATGCTTGTTTTTTGCCCCTTTTGGCCCCTCATTCCTAATATTTTAAAGCAATTACCCCCAAAATCAATTCCAGCTTTCCCTTTGTGATATGGAACCTTGTAGTACAATTTCATAAAGATCCATACACTTACACAAAAGTTATTGTCATGAAACTAGAAAAATGCTTGTTTTTTGCCCCTTTTTTGGCCCCTAATTCCTAAAATTTTTAGGCAATTAACCCCAAAATCAATCCCAGCATTCCCTTTGTGATATGGAACCTTGTGGTACAATGTCAGAGAGATCTATATACTATCACACAAGTTATTGTCTGGAAGTTACAAAAATGCTTATTTTTGGCCCCTTTTTGGCCCCTAATTCCTTAACTGTTGGTACCATAACCCCCAAAATCAATCCCAACCTTCCTTTTGTGGTATTGAACCTTATGGTAAAATTTCATAGAGATCCCTTCACTTAAATTTAAGTTATTGTGCGAAAACCAATGTGTCTTCCGACGACGCCAACGTCATACCAATATACGACTGCAAAATTTTTTTGCGGCCGTATAAAACAGAAATGAAATAAAAATTAAAGTGAGGCCACCAAAATTCAAACTTGATCTGTGTTTTGTGGTAATAAGCATTGTGTATAAGTTTCATAACATTTGGTTGAGGGCTTGAGGCAAACTTAAGTAATAGAACGGAAACTAAAAATTTTGCAATTTTTCCATTTATAAAGGGGCATAACTCTAGAAGGTTAAAGTGACGCCACCAAAATTCAAACTTCATCTGTGTTTTGTGGTAATAAGCATTGTGTATAAGTTTCATAACATTTGGTTGAGGCAAACTCAAGTTAAAGAATGGAAACCAATTTTGGGACGTACGTTTTGGAATAAAAAAAACAAAGTTTCTACTAGATACCATAAGGATCATTCACCTGAAATTTGGTTGAAGTCGGTTCATTTGTTTCAGAGGAGAAGATCTTTGAAAATGTTGACAATGACAGACGCCAAGGGATTACAATAACTCACATTGACCTCTGGGCCACTTGAGCTATAAAGGAAAATTTTTGAATTGAGTAATTTTAGTAGATGTTTGATGATGATGATGGATGGCTGCTTAAGGTCCAGCTGCAAATTAATATGCATATTCAGGACGAGAACATGTTAATGTAATATGAATATATACCCTGCTTTGTACTAGACCGACACACTGATCCGTATTTTTAACGTGCTAGTTCACAAGGTAACAGTCCGCAGGAAGACATGTCACCTTACCCGGACACATTATTCTGACTCTGAGCTGACCAGTCTTTGCTCTTACTCCTTAATGCTGTGTGCTTAGCTGAGAAGCAGCAATTACCAATTTTAAAGTCTATGGTTTGACCCGGATGGGGTTCGAACCCACAACCTCCCGCACTTGAGGCGAACACTCTACCACGAGACCACCGAAGCGGTTAGTAGATGTTTGAATTTATGCAGCAAAGGACATAGGTGTTTATTATAGGTCAATATTATTATTTTATCAGTTTGATGATCATACCCACTAGCATTGAATGATATATATTTATATAAAACAAAAGTGATACTGATATTAAAATTTTATTCTAAAATGTAAATAACAACCTAACAGATTTTGGAAAATAAAGAACACAGTCTGGAGAAGGTGACATGACAAACATTCACAATAAATCTTCACAATATAGCACTTCACACAAAAAATACCATTTTTTTTTCAAGCATGCACTGTGCCCACAACTGACACATGAGGGTTGTTCTTGCATATAAACTAAATCCAAATGTTGAAAACAGCAAATTAGTGTTGTTGCAAATTTACTAAATTATTTAGCAGCATTTTAAAACAGATCTATCTAAAACTTATATAAAATAGCTGCCACATTTTTACTTTCATTGAAAAATATTTCAACTTTCATTTTATATCTTTACATAAGAATCTACCTGATCAAATACATTTTCCAAAATTGACATAAAAAAACACAACTGAATTTAACATCTTATAAAAAAAAATATCATTGTTTATAAAGAAGCTTTGGTCTTACAGATAGCCATTGGTTGAACATTTTTTCAAGTTGCAGTATGAATTCAATTATACAAACTGGGCTACCAGTGAAAAACCTTTAAAAGTCAACTGTAGCAACAATTGTCGAAGAAATCCTGCTTTACTGTATGTAGAGATGGCAAGACATCTATACCCAAGTTGCAATTGTTAATTTCAATTTTGTGAAAATAAAATCGTGCTTATAATAATCATTCAACATATTTAATACATTGTAAGAGAAAGGAAGAACTACTGTTTACATATATCACAGATCTGCCAATAAATTAAGGGTTATTAAAAATATACATGTATGAGTATGTCTAGCTTTTAAATTATTTGTTAAAAATTAATAAAACCTTTGATTTTTATCATAATTATATGATAGGTTGTTTAGTAACTACTTCACAAATCATAGAAAACATGCTGACAAGTCCATTAAAAACATGAATGTCCCTGCTTCTAGCTACTAAGGAAAGAAACAATGGGCAATTATTATGTGACCAGTGGAGCAACCATAGCAAACCACAAACACACTTCATAACACATCATTACACATATCACAAAAAATAAGTTCAATATCTGAAAAGGACAATTTTGAGAAATTTTTAAATCCAAAGGTTGCCATTAACAATGAAAACAGTTAGAATGAAACTGAGACTGCTTAAAACTCAAAAATCAATTCAATATTTGCAGGTAAAGCTAAAAGTCAGAAAATCTGTTCTATATAGGAATTATAAAATAATCCACATGAGAAAACTACTTATACTGGAGATGACATTATAAATATATAAATCTACATAAATATTACCTATTAATTATCTTTTCATATTCAGATTTGAAGTTTATAAGAGATAGGATTTTTTAATGTTTATATACTTTAAATAATTTTTATATAAATATGCAGTTTAATTGAATTGAAGATGCTGTAAATACAGAATTTGTTTAGGATGTTTTCAAAAAAATTTCAAATTGTGACAGGATAGGTCTCAAAAAATTTTTAAAATCAGATTTAAATTTTGATAGCATCATTTGAATGGAGCATTTCCCAAAATTGTAATAATTAATTTCACATTTTTGTTGATTAGTTGTTCAACAATCATAATAAGAAATGCATGCACAAATTTCTGAATTGAAAGTATTTTTATGTACTATACCAAGAGACAAAATCCTATACTATTAATTGTTGGTTATTTTAATCCATCTTAAAACTAGCAATGATGATACAATATATCAGCTCAATAACTTTAAATTAATTACAGTAATAATATCAAATAATGATACTGAGTTTGTGATACTTTCATTGTTGCCATATACGAGGGTCTGAATGTTCTTCATCTTTTTACACCTTTTTTCTCTATTCTTTATTTATTTTTACCCTGATTCTCTATTCTTTATATTTCAGCACCCCATTATTCTCTTTTTTTCATTTTTAGGGCCTATTTTCTCTATTCTATGTACTTTTTTCCTTGTATTCTGCACATTTTACCCATTATTTTCTATTCAGTAAGTCATCCATACCCTCATATACCCAGATCAATACACATTTTCAGAGGATCTGATATCGATAAAACATTCAAGGTAAATAAAAATACTACAGGGGGACATAATATTATATTTACAATAACATAAACAATAACAATTATGGCAATTTATAATTAACAAAGAAAAATGTTAAAGCTCAGTTTACCGGTATAATCATCGTTTTAATTTTCTACAACAAATAATTTTGAGGTTGTGTTCATTTGTCCTATTGGAGATGTCCATAGAAGGGACATAACTACATTATCTGACATACCTATCATTAATTTGTACTTTTAACTTTATCCTTTACGCGACACATCAATAAAATGCCTGCTAAAAATGGCATAATTAAAAATCTAAAATATGTTCCCCTGTCCCCAAAAATAAACTTTAATATATTTATAGACTTATTTAATTTAACTCGTCACACTACCAAACTGTATGGTATACACACATGCATGTCCATTTCAAAGTTAACTATAGTTTCTTTAGGTTTTAACACTAGAGAGAAAGTATATATACTTTAAATTCTACCAGAAAAAGGCAACAGAGATATTTCAACCTATATCATAAATACATCATTGTGAATTTACACAGCTTAACCAAAACTAGATTAGTTGTCAAATAAATATATTATTACATATATGAGTATTGTCTAATTTTAATTACATCCATTTAAATATGTGTATATGGTGATGTATATGTTAGCGGCAATAAGTGAAATTAGGCGTTAAGCTTAAAATCCTAGGCAATAAGCTAACGCCTAGGCATTAAGTTATTACCTGAAATTTCAAGGCATTAAGCTTATTTCCTGAAATCTGACGATGATTATTCAACCTATTGCCAAACATCATTTCAGGCGATAAGTGAACTTTGGGATTTTTGCTTATCTTCCAAATACATGTACAGTCCTTGAAATATTCTTGATAAATACTATCTTAAAATTATATTTCAAAAATTAATATAAACTTATTTAAGAGAACTTCAATTTTTAGTATTGTTTCGTATTCACAACAAAATTACTCGTATTTCTTTGTGATATTTTTCTTCAATGGTTGAGTTTCACTTCTTTATCTAGATTATTAGCATTTAAGCAACAACAAATTTCTTGAATCTTTCCGGAATATAAATTTGAATCAGGGAAAACAAAGATCATATATCTAAAGCAAAAGTACAATGACCATTTGGCAAAGATTAAACTTTCAAAAACAGAAAATAAGGCAACTATAATAGACTATTACAATTTAAAATGGTATGATATTTTTTACCATTGGGGTTTTGAAAGACTGGTAACTAAAGTAAAAGAGAATGATCACGGAAATAAAAAATAAAGAGATGTGGTATGATACACCTTATCGCTATTCCCGGCTGACCCGGCCGCTTGAACTTTTGACGTCAACAACAATCACTTTTCCATTGTGGCGTCAGATATTTTGTTTTATGACGTCAAAATTTTACGGGAACCTGTGTGATATCCAGTAATGGCGGACAAATAGCGATAAGGTGTATTGACATGACACATCCACTAAAGTTCAAATGAAGTGGATGTAAGCAATTATAGGCAATCGTACGGCATTCAGCAATGAGAAAACCCATACTGTATGGTCGGCTTTAAAAGGCTCAATTCAATTCAATTGAGAAAACTAACGGCCTAATTTATAACAAAACACTTTACGAAAAACAAATATTACAAACATGAACTAGAGAAACTGTATGGTATATTGGGAAAAAAATCACATAGAAATATGCCAAAGCGGCCTATTAATATTATAGACCGTAGAATTAAACAACCTAATAATGGCTTTGTAAACATTTCCCATGATTCCATTGTACTCTTACTTCCATTTTGTGGAAATTGTAACATGGGAAGGGAGTAGTAGTAAAACACGTTTTATCCAAACAGTTTTACAGAACAGGACGGGTTAATTAAATCGATTTCCAATCAAAGTAAAATGGAAACTATAATTTCTTATGGTGTACCAAGATCACCTTAAAAATAATTTATATTACTACAGCTCTTACGTCAAAAAGTGCTTCAAAGGTGGCTTCTAATTTAGTTTATGTTTTCACAATATTTGGCGTGACAAAGGTCGTGAATTTACAGCTACGGTTATCTGAATTAATTCTTATGTGGCCAGAACTAGTTGTTGTTCACTGGAAGTCAATACATCTATCACAGGGTAGTACTGAGTGGTCAAACGGAAATATTCATGACATGCTAACTACATGGATGAGGAACAAAGAATTAACAGAAAAAAATAAAACTTTAAAATAGTGTGTACCATAGCTTCGCCAATTGGTGACAAATAAATTTCAATACCATAGTTTCTATCAATATAAAAATAAGGAAATGTAGTACGATTGCAGATGAGACAACTATCCAACAAGTTTACATACGGTATATTTTAAGAGATTTATTCAATGATTTTTAACATCAATATTTTACTTATGATTTTATTTCATGTAATTGATATTCAAACTTCTGTTCTTTTTATTTGATTATGTACAAACTGTATTTTAACTTCGAATAAATTTCTTTTTATTTTCTCCCATTTTCAGTTTAGGCATTAACATTAATGACTGGACATAATTTTCAGGATTTAAGTCTAAATCCTAGGATTTAAGTCTAAATCCTAGGATTTAAGACTAATGCCTAACATTATTTAGGCAATAGGCTTACTGCCTAGGCGTTATCTTATTGCCTAGGATTTAAGCTTAATGCCTAATTTCACTTATTGCCGCTAACATATATATAGGAATTGACAGACTTCAATTTATACAACCTGATAACTATATCAAATAATATCTATGCACAAATAAACTAAAATTAAAGAGAAAGTATGGTAAGGCCACAATTTTACCAACTGTTTTCAGCCAAACACAGCTATAAAAGCCATTTTCATTCCATACTAAATTATGAACTATGGCACTACTTTAATCTTTTGTGATTAAAGAAAGCATAATCAAATAAAATTTGACAAAAAAAAATTGTTTTCAAATCAATAAATCAAATGTTTTATATAAAAATTCCTGAACAGATGAAGAGCACATGCATCAAATTAACCAGTTTAGGAATTTTTTTATTTTTCTAAATACAGCTAATTTCTGAATAAAATTTACCAAATCTCATGAGTTTTTCTGAACTTTTTTATCTCAGAGTCCACCAGGGAGGATTTCACTCAGACGATCAAATGTGATTTTAATGATAAGCCTAATGTCATCATAAAAAAATAAAAATGAATTTGGTGATGGTGGTAGGGGGACATGGATTTGATAGTCTTAATAAACGAGGTAGCTTCTTCTTTTGAGTATAACTAGCTAAATAAAATGATCAAACTAAAAAAATTCTAGCATAAAATGTTCACAAATATGACTAACAAACTGACAAACCAATGGGTTATTTGATGAGATGTGCACCAAAAAAGCACATACATAACACACTTTAATAAGTTAATCCTACAATATTCAATGCAAAAAATCTGATAAATTTAATTTATACAATCTAATACTATTGGTTAAATTTTGATGAATTGAGTTTTTTATCATCAGGAATAACAATCTTTTACAAGATATAATTTCCCTTTACATATATTATATGACCATATCTAAATGAAAAATATCCTTTCAGAAGTTATTTTTCATAAATTCCATTGCCGCGATATAGCCATTTTGTGCTGAGGCAAAGTTAAGCAAACATCAATCAACAATCAATCATAAATTCCATAAAATATTGGTTATTTTGATAAATTCTAAAATGCAGTTTCAAATATTTGACAATTTAAACTACAAATTTTTCACAACTTAAACAATATCCAAAATATTGAAAAAGTGCAACATATTGGATATCAAAATAAAAAAAAAAAATCAAAAGATTTTGTTATTTCTTCTGGACAACTTTTTTGTAAAATGCACAGTTCCTATAACTGAACTATAATATAAAGAGATGGTTCTTATAACTGATCTATAATATAAAGGGATATATGTGTTACCCTATTGTAGCACCATACGTGTGCCTCAGTTGTAATAAATTGTCTTGTCATGTCTTGAAGATTTATTATCCATAACTAACAGATTAACAAAATGAGAAATGTTATCATTAATAAAACTTAAATCATCAAATTATTAGCTATTACAAAAATATCTATGAACGATTAACGGACTATAATTATTTATTATATTCAACACTCAACAATCCATTTAGCACCATATTTAGGGACATTAGCACTACATTTTATAACAAATTACATATATGATGATTAACATGTGTACAAGTTACTGTGAAGCAATTGACCATTAAACTACTTCATTATTTATAACAGATTTCTGTTGTAGAATATGTTCTGTTAAGTCTATAGCATGACTGAGGGAACTACACAACTTGAATCAAAGATATGTTAATGTTAAAATTGTAATATTTTAGTTTTTTAAATCAATTTTTCTTCAATTATTGAAGATTTTTATAAGAATAGTAATAATTTATAGTGAACGATTAACTGATCACAGTCAGATATTCCATCAAATTCCTGCATTTTCATCACAGGTCATTCGAAGAATTAATTGAAAGTTTCTAAAATGTGCATGTCTTGCCCAAACTCTTAATGTTTATCTATCAATAAAGTCAACTAAAATAGCTATGATTTAAATGCACAAAAACCAGATCCGTGAGTATTCATGATCTAAGATAAGAATATGAGTATGCCTTTCATAATATAAAAGCTTTGGTGGCTGAGTGATATAGGTTGTCATGCTTACATCCTGGGCTTTTAAGCGATTACATAGTCAATGGTACAGATTCCATAAAACACTGTTTAAATTATCACAAATCTTTTGGGTGACGAAATCATAAATAAATATTAATGCCCAAATACAATTGGTAATGTATCTTGTAATGCTTAAGTGATTTATGACTAAATGATTGTATACTAGTTCTACAACATAACAAAACACCAATATATATATTATGAAAGTTTTTTTTGATATAATTTCATAGCTTTTATAAATTAAAAGAGCTATCATTATAAATATTGTCATGATATGATATGATATACTATTAATATCTGTTGTCTAAGTCATCAAAATAAAGTGATATGATATGGGTTTTGACTGAAAAAAAATAGCCTGTTAAAATCATCATTTTTTAAAGGTAGTGTAAAAGCAATATACCATGTATATATCAAACTAACAAAAAATAACTGACCGATAAAAAGGTGCCTGGAAGTTAAAATAGTAGATACAAGAACAAATTTTACCTCAATTAGTCATGATTTGCTTCAGATAATTTCATAATTAAAATGGTTAATTTAAAAAAATGCACAAAAAGTGATATGTTTCATAACGATATCGGGTTGATTATTGTGAAAACATTTAAACACATATTGTACCATAGGTATTCTTTTATCGAATAGTACCCAATATGCTTTTCTGTAATACATTTGTACCACATGTGTGTGTTTATTAAACAATGCGTACCACATGCTTTTTTGGCATACAATTTATACCATATGTTTTTTTTTATCATGGTAAAATTCAGCTGTTTCCTCTTCTCGTTAAAAGGGTACATTCCCATGGTCAGGATCAACTTCTCTGTATTACTAACGCTTTCACTCTGCTGGAGGAGGATTTAAACAAAAAGGCAGTTTCCAGGTTTTAGATCCTCCCTGTACTCTCAGAGACAACCAATCATCAATGTTACCCACATACTGAATGTCTGACTCATCTGGATTTGTCTCGTATTCAACAGATGACGTATGGCGTTCTAATGGGCTAGTACTATTACTTCCTGGGCAACCTAAAAAATGATTAACACATAACTAGTTTGGTTCTTTTAGTTCATGACTATGATTTATTTAAACAAGATAAATCTAGTTTTTAGTTTTAATGGAAAATTGAATTTATCAATGCTACTTTACCTCAATTTAAGATTGCCTGAATATAGTATTATGACAAACCAATTAATTTCACCTTGTTTGCCATTGTCTGATGTCAAATTACTGGTAATAAAAACCTATGTACTGATATGCCAAATCCTGGCTAGAATGCTATATGTGTTGTCAGGCTACTGTCTCACTACTAATAATTGCATATCTTTTCACAATAAAATATTCTATTACAGAGATCTTATGATTTTCCTGATGCTCATTGCTTCTATCACAGGATAAAATCTAAGCAAATTTATTTAAATAAAAGACGAATGTGTCTATGTGACAGAGTGCCCTGCTTGTAAATGTGCAAGAGTCAATGTACTAATTCAAGCCTATTGACGTTTTGTTTTCTTTGAAAGTAATTGTGCTAAGAATGCGCAAAACAGCAAATTTGGCAATTTTCCATTTGTACAAGAACAATGAAAGTGATGCAACCAAATTCGAACCTGATCTGTGTTTGTTGGTAATCAGTGATATTGTTATGACTTGTCTTATCAATTATATTAAGTTCAGTCTTGTCTTCTAATTCAAGTTTTAGTACAATTAATTCTTATTCAAAACTTTCTAATTTCCAAAAAAAAATGATGCATTTTTCCCCCAAAAAAAAGGGTAGAGGTAGTTTTGAAAAAAGACAACAATATCACTGGTAATAAGCACTGTGTATAAGTTTCATGACATTTGAATGAAGCAAAGTGAAGTCAGAGTATGGAAATGGCAAATTTACAAATTTTTCCATTTATAAAGGGACATAACTCAAGAACAGTGAATGTGACGCCACCCAAATTAGAACTTGATCTGTGTTTGGTGGTAATAAGCATTGTGCATAAGTTTCATAACATTTGGTTGAGACAAACTTAAGTTATAGAATTGAAACCAATTTCTGGACATATGGATGCACAAACAAACAAGGGTAAACCTTAATGCCCCCTTGGCCTAGTGACTGGGACATAAAAATAAATATATGGGGAATGTGTCCATGGGACACAGATGATGCCCCTGCTTGCATATAACTTTATAAAGGGACATAACTCAAGAACTGTTAAAGTGACGCTACCCAAATTTGTACTTGATATGAGTTTTGTGGTAATAAGCATTGTTTATAAGTTTCATAACATTTAGTTGAGGCAAACTTAAGTTAGAGAACGGAAACGAAAAATTCAGCAATTTTTCCATTTGTAAAGGGACGTAACTCTAGAACGGTAAAAATGACGCCACCAAAATTCAAACTTGATCTGTGTTTTGTGGTAATTAGCATTATGTATAAGTTTCATAACATTTGGTTGAGGCAAACTAAAGTTAGAGAACGGAAACCAATTTTGGGATGTACTGCCGGATGTACGTACAGACCGATAAGGGTAAAACTTAATGCCTCCTCCACTACGGCAGGGGCATAAAAAATTTGGAAACTACACAAGACTTACTAAGATCGTCCATAGAACATTCCCTAAATCTGCCACCACTTCTTCTGATTGGTTGTTTCTTCAGTAACAATACACCACCATGTAAACACTTTAAGACATTCAGTTCTAACACAGTTTGTTTGACATCATCATTTACAATGTTATCACTAAGCCAGGTTCTAGTAAAGTTATAGTCTTGTTCTAACTGACAGGCACCAAGGTAACTGGAAAATCAATGATGCATATCTGTGTACCAGTAAACAATGATTAAAAATAGTAAAATTTGACTCAATACTGAGAGTAAAAAATTTGTGTTTGAAATCAGTACTTTGATTGGTTGAATTATGAACTGGAGTACGATAATCTTACTTCTTACTCTTAAATTTTTTATGACTGCAAGGCGGTATAACAAATCAGCATGTGTGGTGATCTTTTTGCAATGTGTCAATTAAATATATATATATGGACTGTAAAAAATCTTTCTTGCAGAAGATCAAGTGGTCAAGAATACAATTTAGTTAGATTGATTTTTAATTGATTATGAGATCACATTGGTAACCTTAGGAACTTTTCCTCCATCAAAGCGTAGATCCAAAATGTATATATAACATTCATAAAGGGTTCCGGGGAACCCTGCTTATCACCTTCGATTGCAGCTGTAGTGTAAAAATGCAATGTTGACTAACAAAATCTGAACCTATTTACCAGCAAAATACTTGGATTTTGTTTTCTTTTCTTCAGATGATCATGTAGAAGCTTCTGTTCAAGTTTTGTAATATTCCATGAAAATTGATATCAGTCATGGGTTACAGGTTTATCTGAATTATCTATAGTTATCTGTGTATTTTTTTAGGAACCAACCAGGTATAATTTCCAATATATAACTGAATACTTACCTAAATTTAATTTTCTCTTTTAGAATGAAGTTTTTCCATGCTTCACAGACTGCTGACACTGCCATAGCCATTGCATGGAGTTGTGATGTTAATTTCAATTTACTGACACCATCAACTACTGGTTCTAATATTGTTTCCAAAGCTAGCTCAATGTATACACTGTGTTCTTTGGGTACCTCTGTAATGACAGAGTAAAAAAGGGTGAGTCTTCCAAGATGTGTGTTGCAAGACATCTCCAATAATAAAAGCAGAAATGGAAAAGTCCAAGTTTTGGTATGGGACACCCAAAATCTATCAAATATTGAAATAACATGTGCAAATCTCCATGTCTTGTAGAAAAATCTGTTTGTTTACTTGAATTCTGTCAAGCTTTTTTTAAGGAGTTGCTTATTAACAAAGTTGTGATGTGGACGACTCACTAATAACTGTCATAGGCAAAGCTATAAGAGGGCTGATTTTGAATAAAGTTAATATATGCTTTTAATGTTCAAAACTTACAACAAACTCATTGTTTACCTAAATATAAATATAGATAAATTTCGTTATTGGCATCCATTTCAGCATAAAAATAATGGGAATCTATTTTTCACAAATCAAATCAAGTAGAACCAATTATGTTATATGAATGAGACAATATCTTTTGTCAATCCACAAAATAAAATGTATTGTATTTCTGATAATGAATCAAATCTTAATATCTAAATGAATTTTAAAAGCCATATTTTACAGTTGTCTGATTGAATGATATTGAAGTAGGTAAACAAAAATTACCTGTTCCCTTTTTCCTCCATCCTTTACCAAGAGGCATTGATTTCTGGAAATACTCCTTTGCCATATTTTTACAGTTATCACCAAATAGGGTCATTGATGTTGCACTCAGGTTCTGTGAAAGATATAATTATTGATATGTTGTAGAACTACAAGAAAGATTCACAAAGTCTTTAAATTTTGAAAGAAAAACTGTATTTCTTTTTGAAGCAGGTACTTTTTCTATATCACTAGAAATGTCTCTAGTGAAATAATGAATTTTTATCATCAAGAAAAAAGCAGCCATCGTGTCAAAAACAATTGATTATGACAGCTCGTAAAATCATTAATTTTCATTATACTGAAATTAATATACTTTGAAGGATAATGGAATCTATGCACAATGAGATACCCATTTTTGTTATTTTGTAGGGATCAAGTAGACAAATAGTTCAGTTAGTTGTATTGCTGAGCATTTTTTATACAGAAAATTACAGAATATCTAGTATGTGGGCAGATGGTTCTAATAAATACAGCCTTCAAAAGGTTCCAGTCCCCTTTTATTCCAAAAAATGTTTATCTGAATCTGATTGATTACTTTATGAAATCAATAATTTCCAACAGAGTATATAATGTAACACATTTGAGATGCAAGATAATTTGAGATAATTTTGTACAATTATGATCTATTTTCACAAAAGTAAGTATGAAGAGATTTTTCACATTTAGGATGATTAAACAAATAATCAAAGAAGCCAACAAAACATCTTTGACTGAGACACTTAGCTTAGATGACCATGTCATCCTATAAGTTAAGCCTAAAGAGTGTTGATAATAATATAGAAATAATTTTTTTTCACAACAAAAACCTCATATGAACACTTTACATGAGCAGACAATATATGATTCAATACCTGCATCTGTTCATTAGTTTCAGCCAAGTGTTTGGTGACATCAGTAAGGTATGAAATCATCTGTTGTTCCCATAGTTTATGACGACTTATATTTTTTCCACTAAATGTATGTGCCTGATAAAGTGACTTCTTGGTTTCATCTGCTAAAACCTTCAATGAAAAGTAAACTTTATATTTTTCGATTTTAATCATTTTGATGGGATTCATGTCTATATCAGGCAAAATGTATTGAAAATTGCTATGCACTTATCCCAAGCAAATCCCATTTTTTTTTTCAAATGAAGATACTTTTTTTAATATCATAATTTATACAGGATACATTAAAATGCTCTCATATAATCATGAATGAAAAGGATATTTAAAATAACTGTCGGCAAAGTCAATATTTGTTCTATGTTTTTCCACATTTTAGTAAAACAAACACTGCATTAATGTTTAAAGTTTTAAGTTAGTTTTCAATGGTACAAATATTGATTTTATGAATATTACAAAATTATAAATTCAAGGAATTTTGTGCATAGAAAAATACCTGCTGAGAACATTTTACAGTTGATGTCTTCTACCATTTTACATATTTATTAATTTGTTTGATTATCAAATATTAACAATACTTCACCAAATATCTATTCAGACTCATTCACCCATAATCATATAAAAGAGTATAAATTAGATGTAGGCCATTATTTCAAAATTATTCTTTAAGTCAATACTATATCTACCTTCAGATCAGTTTGTGAGATCAACAAGAAGTTCCCTACTGCCCAGCTGGACAAAAAGGTATTCGCTTTTTGCAAGCACCACATGTGTGACATTTGACAATTGGCCAGCAGACGACAAATTACACTAGTCACATGACATAGATCTAGGTCCTGTTTTGGTACTAACACACTGGAATCTAAAAGAAATTTCAATTTAATCAAAATATAAGCATGTACAAACATTTAGTTTTCTATTTATAAGTTAACCGGTGTAGAGAAGATTCAAGATTTTTGAATTTTGTTCTTGTATTCTTCTATAGAAAAATGGAAGTTATTTATATCTTTAATAAAATTCTTTTCTGTTAATAAAATATCATTTTTTCCAATTTACAAAAAATGTACACAAGTAAAAAAAACATCACAGGCAAGGGTTTGACATTTACTTAATCTACAAATTACCTCTCCCAGACTCGGACAGATCTTTCATATTTTCTTGTAGTATACTAAACAAAGGTTGATATGTGTCTCTTAATAACATCCCTGTCCTTGTACTGTAATCTCCTGAGGCCAGGGGACAAGGGTAACATTTGTCTGATAGTCTGTTTCCTAAGGCTTCACACAGACCTAAATATAGAAACAATCTTAATCTTAATTAATACAATATCAATTCAAGGTAGTTGTTTAGTATTTCAATAAATAAATAAACAGAGAGGAACTTAAATTTATATACCGGTATGTTTTCTTATGTTTATATCATATTCTGTAATTGTTCATTTGTATGAACTATGTAAGTTACATACATGATCATACATGGTTGGCTTAAGTTATATCTTTATATTTTCACCTATAGGGAATTTCATGTTGGCAGATCTTTGAAAGTGTCATAAAAAATTAACACCTTCCCTAAACTGAGGACTATCTGACCTACTGTATCTACAGTGTACAATGCAGACATCTGTCTAAATTTGTTATTGTGTGTCTGTCTCTAAAATTGTTTTAGTTTTTTTGTGTCAATGGTTTGCTGTCTCATTGAAGTATACGTTTGTACCCCTTCTTGTTTGTATGAAAAAAACACTTATAGTAAGGAACATATTACTTGCAAGGACATTCACTTACTACATAATTTAGCTAAATATTTGTAGCTCCAGGCCTAGGATTATCAAATTTGAACATCTGATGTGATAAATGGCATACAAGTACATTTTTATAACTGTGAATTGAAAGGTATTATCATTTGAATATTGCCTTTGCAATGTCAGAGATAAATGACATTAAAGTTGAAGGTTGCAATAATAACTTTAACTTATTTTTTTTTTTTTTAATGTTTGAATTGCTGTACCTTAAAACTCCTGCATGAACACAAATGTAAACAGTGTTAGAGATGCAAAGCTAAAAAAAATATATATACTTTCAATCTTTACACTCTTAACACTTTTTTTTTTAAGTGTATAGGGATATATACCAAAGCTATTTTTCAGTTTGTTAAATCAACTGTTAGTAAATTGACAGAAAATAAATTGCTTACAAAAGAGAAATTTATATAATTTATGCAATATTTTTCATTAGCATGATTAGAGATATAAAATAACCAATTCTGTACACACAAAAAAAACGTATTATCAAATATCTAATGTTGTTTTTGTTAAAACAAAACAAAGAGATCTTTTAAAAAATGTAAGTTTCCTTTAGTCATGTAATGAAATTACCAATGTATTTTTAGAAATTGTTTCTTTAATAATTGGCAATTCTCTAATAACATGCACATATTTAAATGTTCAATCCCGTAAGGATATTTATTACAAAAAGTAAATTAAAAAGTCAAAATATTTTCTTTATATCTTTTAAATAATTTGAAACATGAAAGGACTTTCTCTGTACATTGTATGTATACATGTCTAATACAAAATTGAAATACAATGTAAGAAACTATTTACAAGTATTAACACTATCATGACGTCATCTTTATTTCGGGGTGTTCAAAAAATTTAAATACATCTATACAATATATATCATATTTGAAATTCATACAACTGATCAAAATTAGTTCTTAGACTGAATCGTTGTTTTATACATTGTACTCACATGAATCCCATGACGATAAAGCTGATATAACATGAAGTTTCCGTGCTGTTGCCAATAATGATGGTACAGAGCTCGGTGGAAATAAATCTGTTCAAATAAAAAAAACATCATACTTATATTTCTTACATTACCCATACATAGAACTTTGGACATTATTTAAAAAGCAATTAATCTAATAATAGATTAAAATATTTTCAAAATAAAAAATGTGGGAGTCTTAAAACAAAGATGTGAATCAAAATATAAAAGTTTCTTTTGACAATCAGACATGTCAGATACCCTTTACAACAATATAAATTTTTGAAGTAAATTGATCAAATGATATTCAAGTTTAATAGTGTGGGACATGTGAAAAATTGCCTTAAATCTGACTTTTAAAAGTTCCATAAACTATGGAATGACATTTCAATAAAAATCCATAAAATATAAATTTTCTCTCTGAGGACCAAAGGGTCTAGACAACCAAGATAACAACTGGGAACTGTTTTTGATTAAAGAAGCTTTGTCAGGAAGCTCCAATATCCCACACCCCAACTTCTTTCTAGCGAATTCTAGGTGGCAACAATCAAACAGTTAAAAAAATAAACCCCCTCTACTTACGAGCATGGGACATACAATTGATTTAGCAAAGTACATGACTAGTAAACTACAGTGTAAGTTGCATGTTCAATCCTTGCTATAGCATAGTATATTACATTGTATATATTTGTACAAGGAATTACTAGGCTACAGACAACAGACACTAAGTGTTGGTAGTAACTCATCATTACTCATAATGGCCTTTTGGGCTAGGCAGAAAAATGGTCATAAGTATTTTAACTTACCCTTTAAGCCAGCATTTTCCATCATACTTCTAACGATGGCTATCAATGTAGTATTACAAATGACAATGCTTCCAAGACTAAAATAATCATGTCCATGTTCTCTTGCTCCCCAATCATGTTCATAGAAACACAACTCTAAAGCATTTCCAAATTCTTTCCATAAAACATCCAAATATTTTTTGACTAGTTGATCTTTTATGGAACTGTCTGCACTATCACCCCAAGAAACTGTCTTTCGTTTAGAATCTGTTCTTGATAGCACTGGTGTATCTGGACCTTTTGGTGGTCTGTCAGAATCCAATTTGCTGATTGTGCGACTGGTTTTGTGCTTTGTTTTAGAATGACTCTCACTTTTACGTAATATGTGTGTAGAATGACAAACAATTTGAAGAAATGCCTCAGCAAAAGTTTGTTCATTTTGAGAAAATGTTGATAATGGAGGAGGTTCACTAGATAAATCAGGTGCCTTGATTGACCCAACTTTTAAAACGGCACCACTGATACTGGTTGTACTTCCTGTGGCAGTGTGATAATCAGATGTGTCCAGTCCTGGTATGGCGGACATTGGACGCCTCTGTACCTCGTCATTCCAAACGTACAAAGGAAGTTTACCAGAAAACAAGATTCTCATGAAATCGTCATTGGCTGTGAAGAATCTGTGTGTCTGATGAGCTGCATATCTAGCTCTTTCACTTGCCAAAATGTTCATGACATTGATGAAAGGTATGGCTTTGACGCTGATGCCAGCATGACGTGAGAGATTGGAAAGAGCTGCACTTGGAATTAATATTTTTTCCTGTTTACTAAAAAGTTCCCTTATGAAATATGTCTTCCCACGAGCTTTAGGCAGCCCATTCAAAATATTGTTAAAATCTTCAAGTCCCCTTGTTACATTCCACAAGATCTCATGGGTTAAATTAGAATATGAACCATGGGCAAAAACTTTTAAGCCAATCATAATTAACTTTTCCATCCAGTAGATGGCATTGTTGTACAACTGGAATAGTTTTTCTCTGATATGTTCAACATCGATATAGAGACGGCCCAAAATTGGTAAAAGCCATTTGCTAGTGTGAAGACGTTGTTTAATGGTATTCCAGTGTCCAACATGGACACGTAAATCTTCACAGAGACCATTCAAACAGTATAATTTACTCATTGGAGCTTCAGTCAAACAGTTGTGTGTTATTCCATACAATGTTCTGTATTCAAGCTGGACTAAATTCTCTAAATCTTTAACAAAAGTTGAAACAGATTTTATTCTAAACAAACAATCACGTAAGAATTCAAGTCTTGCTCTTTCTTCAAGGATCTTGCGCAGCTCCAAGTATTGTTTACCAATGCCCAAGACATGTCGGCAATGAAGAAAACTAATGTTACCATGTTCAGAATGGCGACGACCAACATGGTGACCAGGATTTAGAATCTGAAATGGTTTCCGCAACAATTTGATTGCTTCTTCTGCATCTACATTATCGAACTCTCTTTCACTTCCAGACAAAGAATGAGGTGAGCTATTAAAATATTTCTCGTACATATTCTGAGTCGAGTCTAAATCGTCTATATCAAAATCACTAAGTGACCCTGGTACATGTACCCTATGAGAGTCAATAGGGGGTAGGCTATCTGACATTCCATTATCATAAGAGTCAGCAACTTCAAAACTACCTGAAAGTAAAATAAGCTTAAATAAATCTTCATGGTGATGAGAAAACTATATAAATTACATGTACACTGAAAAAGGAACTAAAGTGGGAAAAATATAGTTTAATCACAGCACAGGTAGATCTACTTAGATCAATGTATTCAAGATTTAGCTGGTGGACATTAAAGCAATAACATTTTGACAACTCTGCAGATCTAACTAATAGCTTTTCCATTAAACATATTTTAATTGTTTCGGCGGTTTTCAAGGAGGCATTTCTACATGTACATAGTATATATTTCCAAAGGAATCAACACAAAACAAAGCCACCTGGCTAACTGACAATAACATGTATGTAACAGACAATACACAAAATGAAGTTACACACAAAATGTATGAACATATTGCTTCTTCACATGAAACACTAATTAATGTTATATTTGATTCTGTTGGTTGAAAAAGAACATTTTGAAAAGGAAGGGATATTAAAGAAGATGTGCATGAATATGTATGAGAGAAACATATGAAAAACTGGAAATAAAAAATATCTTAATGGTTGTATATTTTCGAATCAGAGGACTTGCATCAGCTTTTCTTTGACTTTAGACTTAAAAATTTTTACCCTGGATGTCCCTGGTGCTAGATATAGATCTCTCCTATATAAGCTACATTGTAGTACATACATTACTGACTAATAAGCGAGTATCAATGGTTAGGTAAACAAGAGGCCCCTAAGATCCTGAATCAATCACCTGGAAATTTTTGTGCAGAAATTGCATCAATGATTATTTTGGTGTTTTAGCTATATTAATGCGAGTTTAAACATGCCTGTAAAATGTTCTCTCTATCTATCATACTTGTGCCCTTTTTCACTGTAAATCAAGGACTACATAATCTTAATGCAAAAATTTAAAGGAAGTAGTTTCAGATACATTGATTTTAAGTTCATGTGTCTGAAAATGAATCTAGAAATATAAATATCAACCACATAAACTTTTTTTTCTCGTTCGCTTGAATATAACAGGTACAATTATTTAAATTCATTTTGATTTAAAATTAATAAATGGGGAATGTGTCCATGGGACACAGATGATGCCCCCGCTTGCATATCATATAAAGTTATAAAGGGACATAACTAAAGAAAGTAAAAGTGACGCTACCCAAATTTGTACTTGATCTGAGTTTTGTGGTAATAAGTATTGTGTATAAGTTTCATAACATTTGGTTGAGGCAAACTTAAGTTAGAGAACGGAAACCAAAAATTCAGTACCGGTAATTTTTCATTTGTAAAGGGGTATAACTCTAGAACAGTAAAAGTGACACCACCAAAATTCAAACTTGATCTGTATTTTGTAGTAATAAGTATTGTGTATCAGTTTCATAACATTTGGTTGAGGCTTACTTAAGTTAGAGAACAGAAACGAAAAAATTCAGCAATTTTTCCATTTGTAAACAGGCATAACTCTAGAACGGTAAAAGTGACACCACCAAAATTCAAGCTTGATCTGTATATTGTAGTAGTTAGCATTGTGTATAAGTTTCATAACAATTGGTTAAGACAAACTAAAGTTAGAGAACGGAAACGAAAAATTCAGCAATTTTTCCATTTGTAAAGGGGCATAACTCTAGAACGGTTAAAGTGATGCCACCAAAATTCAAACTTGATCTGTGTTTTGTGGTAATAAGTATTGTGTATAAGTTTCATAAAATTTGGTTGAGGCAAACTTGTTAGACAACGGAAACCAACTTTGGGACGTACAGACAGACAAGGGTGAAACTTAATGCCCCCTCCGCTACGGCGGGGGCATAATAATAAAAAATATTGTAGCTGGCTAAAAGAAATCACATCTGAAAAATTTAATTTTGGAAAAAATGTTCTCTCATTACTTTTTTTGACAGTAGGAGTCTGAAGAACAAGAAATTTAATTGCTCTGGCCTAATAATAATTCTTTCATCTCACGTATGAAGATATTCTACAACCTTTTATAATCTTATCTGTTTGTTAAAAAACCTACATTACTGAATGAAATTTGAAAGAAGCAAGGAAATTATAGAAATCACTTAAGAGAGACTCCAAAATCTATTTCAATGTCCCTCATTTAATTAGCCAGAGTTGTTGAAATCTCTTTAGACTTTTACAGTTCTTTTGGCTTAAGTATCATATTCTGTAGTTATGCATTATATAAATCACTCCAATTTTTGGCAGTCCTTGTCAAAATTTGCCAGTCAGGACTGATGAATTTCAACATCTCTGTTACATTGTAGCTCCAATTTACTTTCATTTAGACTGGAAACTATCGAACTTTTAAAAATGAATCAGATAAGGATACATATATAATGTTAAATAAAATGCTCCGCAGGGCGCAGCTTGATACGACCGCAGAGGTCGAACCCTGAACAGTTGGGGGAAGTATGGACACAACATTCAAGCTTGATACAGCTTTGGATTTGGATTGTGATTAAATATTTGACACAGCATAGGTTTCTAACACAGATTGAATGTGGTCTAAGAACTTAAAAATTTTAAATTGGACATTCACCTATTATGGTCCAATATCCAAAATCTAAATACATGGTTAGATTCAGCATATCAAAGAACCCCAAGAATTCAATTTTTGATGAAATCAAACAAAGTTTGATTTTGGACCCTTTTGACCTCAATGTGGACAAAGTTGATAACGGGGCCCAAAAATCAAAAATCTAAATACATGGTTAGATTCAGCATATCAAAGAACCCCATATATTCAATTTTTGTTGAAATCAAACAAAGTTTAATTTTGGACCCCGATTTGGACCAACTTGAAAACTGGGCCCATAATCAAAAATCTAAATACATGTTTAGATTCAGCATATCAAAGAACCCTAAGAATTCAATTTTTGTTAAAATCAAACTAAGTTTAATTTTGGACCCTTTGGACCTTAATGTAGACCAATTTGAAAACGGAACCAAAAATTAAGAATCTAAATACACGGTTAGATTCGGCATATCAAAGAACCCCAATAATTCAATTTTTGATGAAATCAAACAAAGTTTAATTTTGGACCCTTTTGACCTCAATGTGGACAAAGTTGATAACGGGGCCCAAAAATCAAAAATCTAAATACATGGTTAGATTCAGCATATCAAAGAACCCCATATATTCAATTTTTGTTGAAATCAAACAAAGTTTAATTTTGGACCCCGATTTGGACCAACTTGAAAACTGGGCCCATAATCAAAAATCTAAATACATGTTTAGATTCAGCATATCAAAGAACCCTAAGAATTCAATTTTTGTTAAAATCAAACTAAGTTTAATTTTGGACCCTTTGGACCTTAATGTAGACCAATTTGAAAACGGAACCAAAATTTAAGAATCTAAATACACAGTTAGATTCGGCATATCAAAGAACCCCAATAATTCAATTTTTGATGAAATCAAACAAAGTTTAATTTTGGACCCTTTGGACCTCAATGTGGACCAATTTAAAAACGGGGCCCAAAATCCAAAAACTAAATACACGGTTAGATTCAGCATATTAAAGAACCCCATGAAATCAAGAATAAAACCCCATTGAAATTGGTCAAGAAATAAGCAATTTATAGGAAGTATCTTCTTTTGCACAATCCTGTGCTATTAAATATTTCTTGCTATTGCGCAATACTGTACAATTGACAATTTCTTGCTATTGCGCAATATTGTGCTATTGGATATTTCTTGCTATTGCGCAATACTGTGCAATTGAAGATTTCTTGCTATTGCGCAATATTGTGCAATTGAAGATTTCTTGCTATTGTGCAATACTGTGCAATTGAAAATTTCTTGCTATTGCACAATACTTATTATATAATAATTTACACATCCTGTTTGGTGTGTATCTCCTACCATATCATTATTATTTGATTTTAAATATAAATCAGAAATAACCAACTTAAAATGGAAAATTTTAAAAGAAACAAAAAAGGAAAAAAAGAAAAAAAAGGAAAAAAAAATAAATCCCCCCCCAAAATTTTTTGAACCCCCATTATGATTCATCACCCCCAAACTCAATCCCAGCCTTCCCTTTGTGGTATGGTACCTTGCAGTACAATTTCAGAGAGATCCATACACTTGAACACAAGTTATTGTCTGGAAACTAGAAAAAAATGTGTTTTTTTGCCCCTTTTTGGCCCCAAATTCCTAAACGTTTAAGGCAATTACCCCCAAACTCAAACCCAGCTTTCCCTTTGTGATATGGAACCTTGTAGTACAATTTCAGAAAGATCCATACACTTACACACAAGTTATTGTCATGAAACTAGAAAAATGCTTGTTTTTTGCCCCTTTTTTGGCCCCTAATTCCTAAAATTTGGAGGCAATTACCCCCAAAATCAATCCCAGCATTCCTTTAGTGATATGGAACCTTGTGGTACAATGTCAGAGAGATCCATACACTAACACACAAGTTATGTCTGGAAGTTACAAAAATGCTTATTTTTGGCCCCTTTTTGGCCCCTAATTCCTTTACTGTTATTACCATAACCCCCAAAATCAATCCCAACCTTCCTTTTGTGGTATTGAACCTTGTGGTAAAATTTCATAAAGATCCATTCACTTAAACTAAAGTTAGAGTGCGAAAACCAATGTGTCTTCGGACGACGCCGGACGACGACGCCGGACGACGACGACGACGGCGACGCCAACGTCATACCAATATACGACCACAAAAATTTTTTTGCGGTCGTATAAAAACACAAGCTCTGAAAATAGTTGTAATGATTTTGTGATTCTGATAGAAATAAAAATATTGTAGAAGTAGCAATAGATAGGTTTCAAATGCCTTAATTTTAGTTTGAGTTATTTCCCTTTGCCGCTATTTTTGAGGGATAAACAGTTGATTTTCTTATTTGAGTAACCAAGTTGAAACATGCCTTACACAAAAGTCTGATAAGAGATCCTTACTAGATTGTAGTGATGAATTAAGCAAGGCGAAAGGAAATATAAATAGTTCAGAAAAGCCCTTTTTAAGTCTAGCGGTCTGTATAAAAATTTAAATTTGTCTTATTTATGAAGTTGTGCTATTTATTATCAATTTTAGTTATGAAATAAAATGCATACAAAAATTGGAAATGTGGTATTTTTACATATTGATTGATATAAAATGGATGTCTTAGACTTGGAATATCAATATTTGTATATACATGTATATTAAGCCGATGAACTTTTCTGAAATTTTAAACTGGCTGTCTAGTGTTTAGTTGTCAATGTGTTTTTGTGGAGTGTGGTTTTCTAGTTCTTTCAGCTAGTCATTGACTTGCGATTTTGATTGCTAGTTCTGTATATAATTTATTTAGATATATATAGATATAAGAAGATGTGGTATGAGTGCCAATGAGACAACTCTCCATCCAAGTAAAAATTTATAAAAGTAAACCATTATAGGTCACAGTACGGTCTTCAACACGGAGCCTTGGCTCACACCGAACAGTAAGCTATATATGAATGTTTAGGTATGTTAATAACATATAATTGTAAACAGCAATAAATATTTAGTTTCAGTGAAAATGATGTTGTTCTACTTTAAGAGTGTTCGTTATACACCTATGCTTTTAAAATTCTGTTCACTTTACTTGTTGAAAATTAAAACATTTACAAATAGACACGACTCTGGAGGTGTGTCTAGATTGGCAGAAGTTATAAAATACAGATAATGCATTTTTGTAAACATTGTATAGGAACATTGTTTAGCAAAACAAAACGTGCATATTGCAGATTAACAAAACAGATAAACACATATTAATAATTGATATTTCAACATTGAATTTCAGTGTGCAATATATGCATAATAAAACGAACATGAATTAATGACAGTTGATCGGAACTGAAATACACACAGTTAATTTTACGGCATTTGATGTCTTATCCTGAGACGAGAAAAGTCTGTAATTTTTTCATTTAAGCCAATAGCTGTTGCTGTATCTCAGCCGCATCATAAAGCAACCAATCAGAATCTATATGTGATAAATAATTATTTCCAGATGGCGTGTTATCGACTGAAACTAATAGCTCCGCACTGTGATGCGAAGCAACAACAGGCAATCAAAGTATGAAAAAATATATCTACCTCCTCACATGGTTTTGAGTTAGTATCACCAAAGTACTTTTAAACAAATAATTAGTACTTGAAATGAAAGCACAGAATGGATTTTCTATAATATAATATGGGGTACAGAAAAAAAAAATGTTCCCCCTAATTATTTGGGCCTAAAGGAGCATTGAGTTTCCTGCAATTTTGCATGTGCAGAGCATTTGATATTTGCAAATTTGTATTTGTAGAACATGTATATACGATTCTTGCAAAATTGTATTACTGATCACTGAACTTGTTGAAAACTGGGACTATTACCCTTACATATAATATATTAGTCCTAGCTGAAAAGTTTGATAAGTAAAACATCAATAACCTTAAGGTAACCACCATTTAATTCTGAGGGGGAGGCCTGGCAAATTCGATGAGGTCAGAATATTTATTTCCAACAAAAAGGCGACCAGAATATTTATTTCCACTCAAACCAGGGCCAGAATATTTATTTTCTGCTCGTCAACAAATTGATACAAATACTGCCCTTGCTCCCCCTCAGAATCAACTTTTTAACCCCCTTAAGTAATTTAACTTTCGCAGAGAGGCAGATAATTTTTTTTTCCTGTCAGACATTGGGTGCTGCATGTAAGACAGTTTTGCCAGTCCCATCAACGCTTAGTCACTTTTTTTGAAAAATAATAACTAGTTCCCAGTTGGATTAAGATACGCCTAAAAATCTTACTAGAACGACCAGGTTAAATAAGGATATAACCATGGGGTGGTTTTACTTCCTACAAAACCAAAGTTTACCGGAAGTTGAGGAATAAGAAATTCAATGGTCTGGAAAAAGGTCAATAATTATCGTCACAAGTGTGTTATTCTGTTAGAGGGGTATTCTCAAGGTATGTGAAACATGTTTTATTGTAAAGATAAATCAATTACCGGCAGACTGATGTGTGTTCATTCATGAGAAATGCAAGGAAATTTTAGAAAATATCGGTTGAACCGAACACATAGAAAATTTTCATTAGCTATATTGTGATTTTTTGTACAAGTGTGGATAGTAAACCCCTCATTGACAAAAACAGGTGCCTGAGCGAGTGTGGCCAGTCATATTTTTTTGGAGAAGATTTCATGTCAAAAGGAGGAAAGGAGGGGAAACCCCCCCCCCCTTTTTTATAAATTTATAAATTTTATGCGTCTGATGAACTTTTTCTGGCTGTTCTGTAACTATTGGATACCTTTGAAAATGTGGCAAGCAAAGCGCACCAAAAATATTTTGTACATTATATATTTTATTTCATGTGTGATAGGCAAGATTATTTATTTCCCCTCAATAGGGGACAGAATATTCATTTCCAAAATCTGCCAAGCCCCTTCCCCCCAAGAATCAAATGGTTGTCCCCTAAGGAGTTCTTCATGTATAGCACCTGTCTCATATTAAATTATATCTAATCTAAAAAAAAATGATAAACCTATCATTAAAAGTAGATTTACATGGTGTTTAATTGCACTTTTTAATGAAATTAATAATTTTGTAACTTTGTTTACTTCTAATGAATATAAACTGGAGTCAATGAATCGCCGTTCTTTTATGACAGAAGGCAAATGAGTTGTGCAATGTTCACTCCGTGTTTCGGTAAAATATATATTTTTTTGGACATATTTCCAGTAAATATCTAAATATGTTTTACCTGACATGTTTTCCGGTTAATAACGGAATCGATAAAAGATAAATAGAATTTATGTCTCCGAGTTTCCTCTATGATTTTTCAATGCTGAATCATCATTGTTGTGAAATTTGAGAAAGAGAAGATTGGAAAATTTGTCGGCCATGTTACCAAAACAAGTGCGGTCACGTGACATTGGTGTCTAATTTTGAAGTCGGATATCAGACATATTAATTCCGGAAAATTTATATTTTTAACGAGATATGCTTAAACAAGAGGCTCACAAGAGTCTGAATCGCTCACCTCGTAAAATATGCCATATTGATATTTATTTTACTTTTATTGCAAATAATTATGTTGCTGTTTTAAATCTTATGTGAGAATAGTATACTAACTTAGTCAATATCCTATGTCCATCTTACTTAGTGCCATTTTTGTCGATATTGTATTGAGGATCATTTAAAAATGGGTAAAATTAATCTTTCAGAGGGCAACAGCTCCTTTAAGGGTTCAATTAACTATTTCAGCAATGTTAACTAATTTGTAGATTTTATTTTGATGAACAGTTTTGCTACCGTCAAAATGTATAACAAAAAAAAATCTAAGGAAAAAGTCCATAAAAACTGACAAAATCAAAATTTAGAATTTATCAACCAACAGAACGAATGGAAATCATCTGTCATATTCCTGACTTGGTACAGGCATTTTCCGAAGAAAATCAGTGATGGTTATAAATTTTGACCTGGTTTTATAGCTAGCCGTAAACCTCCCATAAAGGTTCTCAGTCTATCTACTATTATAAACTCATCATAGATTAAAATTGCGTTTTCGCTTTCGTCTACAAAAGACTCATCAGTGACGGTCGAATAATAAAAGTTGAAAAAGCCAAAATAAAGTACGAAGTTTAAGAGCATTGAGGCCCCCAAATTCCGAAAGGTTTTGCCAAATACAGATAAGGTCATCTATTCTTGAGGTAGACCATCCTCAGTATTTCAAATTCAAATTCAAATACACTATTTTCTGGACATATGTAATATATAAATTAAGGACTTTCAGTCAGTCAATACTTCTTCCTCGGTCAATATAATCTGAACAGGTCCATATATAACGTATTGACCTAACTAACAAAGTTAGTATTATATGTCTCTATTAAAGGTTATTAAAAAAAATCATTAAAAACTGTATCAATAAAAGTATAACTGACATATTTTCTTGGTTAAAGAACAACGATATCATTCCAGGTTTTCATTTTAAAGACCTAATTGTGGTTTGTTGACTAGAGAGAATACTAAAGTAAATACTTAACTTTACTATTTACACATCAATGTTAGCTATGGAAAGTAGGATTACTCAAATCATAACAACAAGTATTTCATTTCATTTCAAATATGTTATTGATAATAATCATTATGAAAGGGAATTGGATACTGACAGGCAAAGCCTTTACACATCCTCTCCCACACCAACGTGGAACATATATATAGACAAGATAACATAAACACAAATACAACAAAGCATTGTAACGTCATTTGGTATCTGTTTGAAAGTTGTCTCATTCGAAATCATTCCACATCTTCTGATTTTTATATTGGGAATGCTAACAATGCAATTTTCCACGACCGGACACACGAACGCACGGCATTTCTATGTCCCCCAATGCCTTACGCGGGGAATATATATATAACTAGCAAACTATTCGACAAATATAGGTAATAGGCAATACAAGTACGGGACTATATCATCTTTGATAAAATTCAACAACAATGAATTCAATGAAGACGTATTCATATTTAGATATAAGGACTAGGAGCGTAATATTTGTAGTCCAAACTTAAGGGGATCTTAAAACAACAAAGCTGACAAATAAGTTTAATCACAGGTTGGTTCCATCACTTCAGAAGTTCCCTGGTGTTCACCATGAGCTAGGTTAATTTGTTACATGGATTCATCTCCGTAAAAACATCAGTATTATATTTTTTCTCTTTTTTTAATTGACTTTTCCTCCACTTGGACATGAGTAAAACCTGCTTACTCTTCTGGATCGCCTGAGTTCATTACACGTTTTTAATGGTTTTAGTTTCTTACTTTCTAAACCACATTTAGTATATAAATTTATAACGATTTTGTATCAATATTAAACCACATGAGTAAGATGAGTTTATGACTATGGCAAGCCGTTTTACTATTTATTCTAACTTCAAGATATCTAATAAACTTTGTAAGATATCTCATATAGTTAATAAGATATCTTATATACTTTATAAGATATATTATATACTTATATATTATAAGATATCTTATATACTTTATAAGATATCTTATAGTTTATAAGATATCTCATATAATTTATAAGATATCTCATATAATTTATAAGATATCTCATATAATTTTCCTTATAAGATATCTTATAAACTATTTAAGATATCTTATAAACTATACAAGATATCTTATATATTATATGAGATATCTTGAAGTTAGAATCATCAGTAAAACGGCTTGCCATATCCGTAAAGTAAGCCTACAAGATAATATCAAGAGAAAACTATCAATACAGTTATGGATCAAAAACTTGTAGTTTCCCTATCATTATTTTAACCGTGTATCGATCAGTTGTAGACTCGTTCACCATTCTGTTAGCTGAACCTATCAATATAACATTGGTGCCATGCGAGAATCAAAGCGGGATACATATGAAATAAAATATAATAATTATATTACATTTATGTTTCATAAGAATCCGTACTTTTGATTGGCTGAAAGCAATCGCGAAGCATTCCAATGTCAAACTGTATTTCTCAATAAATTTAAACATTCATGACATTACGTGCTTTTCATGACATGACATGTCACGTCATAACAATACACAGGAAAACAAACGAATAACTTGCTATAACTCATAATTTCATATTTGTAGCATAATGTTATAGGATCATGTGAAAGCGTTGATGATGCACATAATTTAAGCGCTTCATACACAATGTCTTCGGTTAACACTTTTACATCCCCAAAACATTACAAAAAGAAGCATTCAATTTTTAAATAATTATTTTACATGTATGTTTTATAAGAATCCGTACTTTTGATTGGTTATCGGGAGGCTTTCCAATATCAAATTGCATTTCTCTATAAAATACAACATTCATGACTGCACGTGCTTCCCATGACAACGTCACTGCAATACATAATAGGAAAACAAACGAAAATATTGACATAACTCGTTATTTCCAAGTTATAGCATATAAATGTAATTATAAGAAATTAATGTTTCTTTTTGTAATTTTATGGGGCGTTAAAACGTTGATTGTGCGCTCATTTTTAATATGAAGCGCGGAAACAAAATGTGCTTCGGTCAACACCTTTACACCTAAAAAAAAATTACAAAAAGAAGCATTTAATTCTTAAATGAAACAGAATAGACCAAAGAGATAGAAAGGATTGTATTCATAATTTCAAACATATATAGTTTTGTCTTCAATTGAGGTATGCGGTTAACATAATAACAAGATATAAATAGCATGCATGCATTAAGTTGCTCTATACTGCCATTCTTCATAAAAGATAAATATTTTTCTCCATTATATAAAATTTCCTAGAATTGTGTTGATATCAGTAGGTCACCGAATTTCTATTCCAATAATAAAAGTGGTCCCTTTATTGACTTGCATGCATTTTTTAATTTTTTTTTATTTGAAGTACATAAATTTTCTTTTTTCAAAAACACTGCCTTCCTCAAGTCTTCAATCTGGGACTTAGTTTTGACTGTTGGTCAGAGCTTTCATTAAGATATTGTGGGTGACAAACTAATACGAAAATTGCTCCATTTGATTACCACACCATTGCAATTTTATCTTATTTCAAACCGAAGCACTTTTTTTGTACTTTTTTTTGTCACAAACTCAATGTTTAAAGTTTCCAAATTATTTGAATATGTATTATAGCAATCACCAAACATACTAATGAGGACAAAATTTGTGCAATAAGTGGTTATTACAGGTAAATAATTACATTACTATATATATGGTCCTCGGAGCTATGGTCAGATTATATATTATATTGGCTGATCACAGGCACTTGTCTCTAAAAAATACCCATAAACCTTAATATAATACAAGGTACCCAACTTGCACTTTTGAGAAATGTCACTCGATAGCGAACTTTCGTTGTATTTCGATGCCGCTTTGTCTATCCCATTTAAACTTGCCATGTGGTAAATCTGTATCAAATTATCCACAAAATGGTGTATAACACGCCTATTTCTGTTGTCAGAATCATTCAAAGCAGGCCTTCAAAGTAGGCCAGCGGGTAAAATATTCAGTCTTCTCACAGCAAAATGGAATATATATATTGTGCGATGTCAAGATTGTCATTTCGCTGCGCGAATACAAAAGCAATTTCTGATAGCACCACAAAAGTTCTTCGATATCTTTTCCTTGTATGTGCTTTATTTGAGGTTGTTCTATCCTGGAAATAGTATACAATATATTAAGTCCCAGGTTTATCTGAACTTTTGCGTCTTTCTTTATTTTAAAACGTTTTCCCTGTATACGTTATTTTTATTTAAAATTCTATTGTCAAATTTTTTCTATACGGCAATAATACTGAAAAAGATTTTAGTCGTTAAAAGGTTAAAAGTTCTTTTGGGGTGTTTTTGAAATATTTGAAAACTTTTCAAAGAGAGGCGAAGGATAGCAAAGGGACATTCAAACTCATAAGTCGAAAATAAACTGACAACGCCATGCCGCTAAAAAGAAAAAGACAAATAAACAACAGTACACAAAACAAAACATAGAACACCAAAGACGGAGCAACGCGAACCCCACCAGAAACTGGGGGTGTTCTCAGGTGCTCCGGAAGGGTAAGCAGATCCTGCTCCACATGTGGCTCCCGTCATGTTGCTTATGATAGTACACACCCGGTGATAAGTCTAATTCGGTAGGTTACATTCGGGGAAAAGGGGACGGGATTGTAGTTTCGACAATTGAAACATATCCGTTGTCATCTGTGAAACGGATATCCCATAACTGTCAACCAACTCGTGATGGTGTCCGTAAAACTTACGAAGGACGATTTCAACTTCACCACTTAGAACTCTTGGTTTATTAGCTTCCTTGTGAGCAGCAACCATCTATCAAGGAAATCATGATAGGAAATACAAGCCCTGGTAGATCGTATCATC